TGTATGTATGTATTCTTCTCGAATTTAGAAAAATTCGCCTTAAACCATTGGCAGAATCTATTGCAGCAAGGATATTAAAAAAAAGTATACGTAACAAAATGAAAGCTCTATAAGTATCCCAAGAGATGAACTGTCTCCAACTTATTAAGGATTATAACATTGTTATAGCTATTATAGAAGATAAAGTTCAGCGAAAAAAAGTTCTTTGATTTCTTTTTTATTAAGCGGGACGGATACAAAGATCTAATGAATTACGAGTAATTTTTATATTCTTATTATATCTTTCTGCTCTGAAAGATTTATAAATCACCAGTCGGTTTTTGTTTTAATTGAAGGGCGGGTAAATTGGCTTCTTTAAGGATAGTTATTTTCCTCCCGCATAGATGAATAAACAAGTGACTTTGAATTAGATGGAGAATAGAAGACAGAACAGAAGCTTCGGTAATAATAACTAACACGAATAATATTTATCAAGTAATTATGTAAATACTTAATAAAGTTACACAGTTATACAGTTATAAAGTAATTACAGTTTTTTTTTCGAAAACTATTATTCATTTTAAAAATAATTTGTTATCAATAATAGGACGGTAAAAGAGGGGAGATATAATTAATTTGCAATTATTCGTTTTAATTTGGTATAGCATTATATTCTTGAAATTTTAAACTTTGGTTAAATCTTTTAATGGATTTTAAGGGGAATCGTTAGGCATATACTAAGACTGACCTTTTTTGATGTATCTTTTCTCTGCCTTTAAACAGTTTGTTTTGCAGATATTTACCTTACATGTTTACAACTATGATAATTGTTTATTTATATCTTTGGTAGAAATTATTGAAAAAAATTATGAACTAAGATCTCTTTAAAAAAAATCTAAAAATAATTTTTTAAAAGAATTGCTGCCAAAGATAGGTATTAATAGTTATCACAGTGTAAACATATATGTGTAAATATTCGTTGAAAAAAAATGAAGTATTATCTTTAGATGCTCATTGGTATATGCCCTACTGAGTTCTCTTAAGGGTTTATCGTTATTTATTTATTTTATCTTTTATTGTCCATTAGGGCTATTAATTAATCAACAAACAAGCTATTTTTACGGAGCAGGCCAGTTTGACCTCTTCATTACCTCGGTCCACATACGTGTACCTTCGCTTCTTAGGTTCTAAAAACACGCTAGAGGAAAATTGATAGTTTTACTCTCACTGAAATATTCGTGGACGCTTAAGCTTTCGCAGAATTCCAATAGATGCAGTACATGCAAATTATTTGGGTAGAATTCCACATAGACGGAAGTGATTTTCGAAGAATAACGAAATCCACGTGCTCGAAACGTAAGTAATTTTACTTGTTATATAATTTAGTAATTCTGAAAGTAATTTTCTTCTTTTGATTTAGTAATCCTCTGATCTGCATGAAGCTTTTAAATTTATGTTTGCTTAATATTACATGCAGGTCCACGCATGTGTATCTTGGTTCGTAAATCGGAATTTAACAGCATAGTATTCTAGTGAAATCTTACAGTATTATAAGAGTATTTAGTTCTATATCTATTTAACAATATTCTTATGCGTATTTTAATGTATTTTATGTTTAACTGTATGTATAATAATAATATTAAGTAACATACATGCATCGAATAGCTTTAATTATGTATGTTTTTCTTTCTCATGTTTTTGATATATTGCCCAAATGAATTAGGTATTTTTTTTTTATAATTAATGTTAGATTATTTTCAATATTTATTAACTTTGATTGGTTTGCATAAGTAAAATAGCTTTGATATAGTGGCTTTTATATCTATTTATTAATATTTCTATATGTATTTTAATGACTTGTTTTGTAACAAGGTGCACGCATATATTTTATAAGTTTAATCTTTTGTGTTTTTTCTATAATTTTAAAATATTGCACCCAAGAATTAAATATTTTTGATAATTAATGTTAGATTCGTTTCAATAGTTATTTATTTTGTGTGGTTTGCATAATTAAAATAGCTTTGAATCTGAGATTTAATGCAGTATTGCATTGTGCTTGTATTTTTTAAAAAAAATTTCTAAATAATTATTAAATCTATTCGTCATTGTATTTCAATGGACCATAATAAAATAATATGCATGTTTGTTCCCACTTTAGTGAAATATTTATATTCTTTTAGTTAAAACCTGAGGTCCATGTACTTTTCCTGAAATTATTAGCCCCCTGGCAGTATAATTCATAATTTGTTTATCTTATTATGACTTATGGCAATAAAATAGAAGTTCGGATCTGTATAATATTTTTTTGCTCTATTTCTTTATACTTAAGTAGCGAAGGGGTTAATAGACCCTGAGTAATTTTCACGATCATTTTGTCTCAATGTTACTGCAAAAAACTATGGCTTAGTATCTATTCTGCTGAAAACTTAATTAAAATGATTTTTGCCTGACAAGTCGTATGAACGTAGGACATGCCATATCAACATAGGTATTTGGAAAAACGATGTGTAATTGGAAATAATTTCCAATCTTATGGAATAACTTAATATAACTGCAACACTGATAGATCAACAATTGGAGCTGTTTTCATATATTTTTTTTATAATGAGCTTTCGGCTTCCAATGAGGTGAACCGGGTTCGAATCCCAGCGATGGCTTGTCGATACGAATTCCTGATCTGGCTTGCACCGACCACAAAACTGACGTG